CACACCTATGCATGCCATTTCTCACCAGGTACACGAGCCTGTCGTGTACCCCTTTGTGCATCTCGTGTTGCAGGATTCCCCTCTCACGCCTTCGCCGCAACCCCATTCAACCTCACCTGCAAATAAAAAGCTCAAAGAGGAGTGGCGGCCGAAGCAGCAGGTGGCTAAGCCTGCACGGAAGAAAGGTGGAGATCACTATGAGTTGGTTCCACCTCCTGCACCACGACCACCCTGGCCATCCGAGTACTCACTCGCTGCATCTTGCCGGATGGCCAGGTCAAGCTGACCAATGCTGGTGGTCGCACCCGTCTGGTGCATGGCCGCAATCTGAAGCCGTACCTCAAGAGCGATGTGGATCCGCTCTTGGAGGAACCTGTTCCTGCACCCCGCTGAGTATCCACCATGGGCGTCCAGTTAAAAGACGGTAAAGAAGCGCTTGTTGGGAGGCAACCCCATCACGGTTTTCATTTATTCCTTTTGTTTTGGGTCGGATAGTAAACTGGTTTGGTTTTGGTTTGTTTTCTTTTGTTTTGGATGATGTATTATTGGGCTGACAATTGGACCTAACGGATTGTGTTTGAGTTCTTCTGTTCCCTTTAGCTGTACTTTGTCCCTAACTGGTCCCCTCTCCAGTCCTCTTCACACAGACTGGTCCGCTTCCAGTCTCATGTAGTCTGTGCACACCGGTAACATAGTTCCCCTTTATCCTTCCCTCTTCTCCATTGAGGGCAAAGTCGATCTTAAGTGTGGGGGGATGTTTCTCTTTTGACTGCATTAGATCTGTTTGTGTGCTTAGAGCCTATTCCACTGTCCGAATTTTTAAATTTGAGGGCTCCAAGTACGTGTTTCCTTGCAAATTGCTTGCTCGGTATGCTTTGAATTGACAGTCTCTATAGTAATGTGCAACCTAGGGAGGTAGTGTAGCTCTATAGAGGATGTTGAAGTATAAGATTTTTCCTATCTAGCTCTCTGCTGTGCCAGTTGATTTTGTGAATTAGTGGAGCTAGGACCGTTGAATTCATGTGATAATGGTGACTCTATTTGGATTGTGTTATGGACTCGTGTATCGAACAGGGTGCTCATGTGAAAAATGAAATGCAGTTGGTCCTCCATGTCAAAATCTTTAAATCTTAAACATGGGGTAAGCCCAACGTGTGCGGCACCGTTCATTGCACAAAAATCGGGTTTTTGAAAAGATTTTAGTGATCCTTAGTGGGGTATCCTACAAGTTGAAGCTAAGCCGTCTCTAGTATAAGTAAAACTTCCACCCGTTGAACGGTTTGCCTACTTGAGGATGTGTTTTTAAGGGCACGGATAGAGCTTCCGACTCCCCTTAATTTCATTGACCCTCCACACGAGTTGAGGAAAATGAGTTAAAAGAAGTCCTCTGGCGAGCGCCAGATGTACAGAAATTGCTCTTGCTTGACTAATAAGGGTCGACCGTGCGAAAGACTGCAGTTGGAACCCCCGCTAAGTGAATGAAAAAAAAGTAAAATGGAAGTGAAAAAGGGGATCCAACGGTGAAATGAAGTGAAAGAGCACCCCGGTATCGCGAGTCATTGATTGTGAATGATGTGAGTCCCTTTATCCATGAACTGACTGTCTTACTTCTACTTCTTCTCATGATCCTGGCTTGAGTCTAGTACTCGCATTAAGAGAGATAGGGGACGTCTAAGAAGACCAGTTGACCTCGTAAGCTGCGTTATGATCCAGAAAATCCTCTACCGACGATCGGGGTTGTTGTTGCTATAGAGGTCTGGAGAGTTGCATTGGTTTGAGTTACGTTTGCTTGGGGACAAGCAAACGGTTAAGTGTGGGGGAATTTGATAGCGATGTATTTGCACATGTTTGCACCCTTCGTTCTTATCCGTTTGCGGCGAGTATTCGTGTATTTTTGGCCCGTTTTACGCTGGGTTGTGCTACTTTGTCATATTTCAGTTCCCAGACGTCGAAGGAAAGGCTAAGCACGAGTTTCGGGGCATTTGGAAGTCATTCGGTCGAGCTGGGGCCAAAGCACGGGCTGGCCTAAACCAAAACACGGCCGTGTACACAAACAGGCAAGCTAGTGTTTTTATTGCCGAGAGCTGAACTGATGGAAAAGCAAAACACGGGCTGGCCTAAAGCAAAACACGATCGTGTCCATATTTAGGCACGACCGTGTTTTGGCCGACGCGGGCGTATTTTTAACACGGAGCAAAACACGGGCGGGCAAAACCAAAGCATGGCAGTGTCCTCGACCGTGTTTTGCCTAGGGTAGGCCTTTTAGGTAGATTTGAGCCAAAGGAGAAGTAGTTCCGAGTTTTAGAGAGACAGAGCGATTCCTAGAGAGAGAAAGCGACAAACCAGAGTTCCCAAGTGCCCTAGCTTGATCTTCAACACCATTGGAGCTCGGCTTGAGCTTGGAGAAGTGCAGATTGACGACCAGGAGCAGAAACCCATCCTTCACAGTATGGTTTCCGCATCTGAATCTGCTTTTGCTTCTCTCTCCATGGAGTAGTTTTCCCATTCATCTGGGTATGGAGAACCCTAGATTTGTATGTTAGGTCTGATTGTATGAACCCAAGTATAGATTTTATGATTTGGTTATATTCAATTGACATTGAATGATTGAATGACTTGAATCCTGATCAAATTCCTGTTATTTCTGCTTTAGCCTAGAAAGAGAATATCTGCCTAGGTTAATAGAGCACCGTTAATTGAAGGTAGTGAATTGGCGACTTTAGTCGAGGAGCCAAATCACTATTCTGTACCGAATTTACTTCGGTAGTGGAGGTTTGGTTCTTTAGGGCCTCAATTTGTTTACTCCGGTGGAGGTTAGTCGCCCACTGGGGACTCAGATTGAGAGGGTCTGGAGACCTTTAGTCGAGACTTCAGACTGCTTAAGAACCTCCCGCAGTATAACTATCATTAAAACTGAACTTGGTAAATTGCAATCTAGCTTAACTGCAGTCTAGGGGGAACCATATCCGGGTGACCTCTCTCGACTTGAAAACAATCGTTTAATTGCTTGCTGTACTTGTTTGCTTGTTTGAGCCTGCACTAAAGTTTTACCGCTAAATAATAAGAATTCGCTGAGTAGTCATCACATCTAGGACCCGCGTTGACATTAAAACCCAAACCCGCTATACTACGCTTTAGGAAGTGGTTACACTTGGCCATTTTCTAGAGTGATAGTAGGAGTGAGTCAGTCGCCTTTCGTCTCAACAAGGAAACGTTCCCGAAGAGTCATACCCCAGATGCACTGATGAAGGGCAGAACTAATTCCGGGACGGATGCAAAGATACCATTGAGAAGGAGATGATCTTGCCAAAACCATTGAATGTAGAGAGGATTTCGGACTGCAACACCATCAAATTGAATAGTTACAGCAGGGGGAACAACCGTGTCGTCAAGATAGCCAAATAAATCATGGACATGAAGGAGCGAGAACAACTGTATCGCCATGAAGGGAAGTTGGCTGTGGTGAGCTTGAGTGGAAGAGAAGCAACTGGTTTGAACGTTACCGGCGTAGTCGACTTAGCTCCTGTTGCCGCGGAAGGCTGCCGGAAGAGACGAAGCTGAGGGACTTGGCGGCTATCGAAAAGAAGGAACAAACGGGAAGTTTATGAGGCTCTGATACCATGTAAGGATTATCAACCATGAGTTTATGTTATTGATACAAGGGTTTTATTTATACCCATAATAATACATGATACCACTTGTCACAAGGAAATGTAACACAACTATACTAAGGAGATTGAATACAAGTATGACAAGGACTACAAGATCGAGAGGGACAAAGACTTGTCCCTAATACGTACTGCTCCGCCAATCCTTGTAACGTCATCGATTGCTGCTGAGTCCGTGTGGGCCACGCAAGAAGAACCAAGACGCTATTTCGACATGTGTTCGAAGCCCAAGGTTAATTCTGGTGGGAAACGATGCTCTTTTAATATTGGGAGGGACGATGCTCTTGATGAATGGAGGATTGTCAACGGTAAGCTATTTGATGGGCTTAATCCTTGGAAATATATGAAGAAAATAAAGTATGGATGTTAGTTGATGGTAAGGGGACAATGAACATGAGTGATTATTTAATTTTAGTTGATGGAGGGCATCACATGCAAGGAATGGAAGATGAAGTTGCGGACGAGTGGGGGTATGAACTTGGACAAGAATGTCGCAAGGGAGTACTCGGCGTTATCACAATGGAAGGAAAGCTCACATTCTTTGGTTCTGATTATGCTAGGAAATTTGTTCGATTATTGGAGCGCAATTGGAAATTTTGAAAATGACGATTACACATGGAGTTAGCGAGTTTATTTGTTGGCATGGTCATCAACAACAAGTGGGAAAACTTCTTCTACATCGATCTTGGTTGAGGCAAGCATGGTCATCCCACTAATTTTGAGGGCAAGGTTGTGCTTAAGGGGAGAGGATTGTTACGATACGAGCCATTCTTAATAATCTAAGAATTTCTGGGCTCATCTATTTTTAGTAGTTTTATTAGTTAGTTATATTTCGTACTAATTTGGATATTATAATTGTTTACTTGTCTTAGTAGGATTGTGATTTTTTTCTAGTATGTTTAGGATTTGGTATCGTTTTCTTGTGGGAGTAATATTCATGTTCTAGATAGGAAAAGGTAGAAGCTTTCTATGCCTATAAATATGTATTGTGTCTTTAGTTTAATAATATGAGAAGATTGGAACCCAAGTAGCTAGTAGTATCTTATTAGTAGTCTTTGATCCTCAATATTTCACTTCGTCCTAAGTCTATTTCTCTTCGTTCTAAAGCCATTCTCGAGTTACTTTGTTCGATTCGTGAGAGACACGTTGCGTGAAAGTTCTAATCTGGAAAATCCACGTAACAATTGGTATCAGAGCCTGGTTGCTCAACAACCAGATTCCAGGTTACCAGCATAATCACACACGCTATCTAGTTCTCCGGTACCGCAAATTCATAATGCTTATCATAACGAAGGAGTGGCTCGCCCAGTGGAATCAATACAAGGAGAAGTATCACCCCGGCGGCATCGAGTCCCGGTTGTCAGCATCGCTTTCATGTGACACAGCCTCCGTCGTCATCGACCCACCCGCGCTTCCAGCTAACATGACGGCAACTACCATCTCACCAACCGCAGCTGATAAGGAGGATGTGACTCCGATCAACGCAAAGCTCTTCGTAGCAACACCAACATCACCATCTTCCATTGTTGTCGAGGAATCCATTTACGCAGTAGCTGTGAGGGACGAACCGCCAGCACAACCCGCCGCCCTCAAGAACATCAGCGTGGAGGATGTCTTGGTCCAGCGCCGAGACACTCACCGCAACAACGACCCATGAGGAGGATGTCACGACGACCGAGGAGGAAACTATGGAGACCACTGTTGTTGTTCCAACAACGGCACTCGCCACCACCATCATCGTCGCGTCCGCTTCCAAGGAAGAAGGTATCGTTGACGCTGCTCCACCTTTATCACGCGTAGAATTGCCAGCCGCCCCCGACGTCAACCCGGCTATGAAGGAGCTAGCCCTAGCTCCGAAACCATCGCCTACATCACCACCAGTCATCACCGTCCCAACCGTACCATCAATCGTACCACCATCGGAAGAGCAGCCGCCAGAGATAGTTAGAAAGGAGGAACCGCTCCTTCTCCCACATTCAACTTTGTTGTCCGTACTATAAGGATTATCAACCGTGAGTTTATGTATTGATACAAGGGTATATTTATACCTATAATAATAATACATGATACATCTTGTAACAAGGAAATGTAACACAACTATACTAAGGAGATTGAATACAAGTATGACAAGGACTACCAGATCTAGACGAACGAAGACTTGTCCCTAATACGCCCCCGCTAGATGGAGGTGGTGTCAGCTAGCCCAATCTTGGAGCAGAGTAAGCAAAAGCGAGTGACTTACCCATCACATCGGCAAGTTGAAACGCAGTGGGAACATAATAAACAACCAGTTTCTTTGATTGAACAAGCTGACGCACGAAGTGATAGTCGAGAGGAAGGTGCTTCATGCGGGAGTGAAAGACAGGATGGGAGCTGAAGGAAACAGCACCCATGTTGTCGGAGTAGAGCTGCAGTGCAGAAGAGAGAGGTTGGTGAAGCTCAAGAAGAAGATTACGAACCCATTGAATTTCAAACGTGGCCAACGCAATGGCACGATACTCAGCCTTGTTACTCGATCGAACAACAGTTCGTTGCTTCTTTGACTTCCACAAAATGAGAATGTCGCCAAGATAGACAAGAAAGCCCGAAGTAGACGTGCAATCATCAATATCACCCTCCCATTCGGAGTCGGAAAACACACGAAGAGTGAAAGGGGTAGTCTGATGACGAATGTGCAAGCTGAGAGTGGGCTTGCTAGCAATGTAACGATGGTTAACAAAGCGGAAGATTCACTAGAAGGAGTGGAACAAGGATTAGGAGAAGAGACACCAAGGAACTCGATTTCAACGAAGACGACATGATGGGACGAGAGCGAGGTTGAAGTTTATGTGAGTTATACGGACGAAGACAAGGAAAGCAAAGACAGCCAAAGATGCGAAGTTTAGTATAATTAGGAGGTTGATCTCTTGAAAGGAATACGACTACGAAGATCTGAGGAAGGAAGACGATTAATAAGATAGACAACAGGGGTGAAGGCATAAGACCAGTATGTAAGAAGCAACTTAGCCTGATGGAGAAGCGGAAGACCAGTTTCAACAATGTGACGATGCTTTCTTTCAGAAAGAACATTATGTTCAGGAGTGTAAGGAGGAGTTAGTAAATGAATGATGCCACTAGAAATCAAGGTATTTTTAAGCTTTTGAAATTCACCACCATCAGTATATAATCGTTTAATGCGAGTGGAAAAGTAGTTTTCAACAAGCTTTTGAAACGCAGTGAAAGTAGGTAGGACATCAAATTTATAGCGAATAGGATAGATCCATGTATATCTAGTAAAATGATCAACAATGACTAAATAGTATGAATAACCATCAATAGAAGTAACAGGAGCAGGACCCCATACATTAGAAAAGATTAAATCTAGCGGGCGAGTACTAGAAAGATTTGAATCAGAAAACGGAAGTTTGTGACTCTTATTAGAAAGACAAGACAAACATGGGAAATACTAGATTTTGGACACATGAATAGAATGAGTATGAATTAAACGAGGCAGAGACTTAAACGAAGGATGACCAAAACGACAATGCCAACAATCTATGGAATTCCGAGTAGTGACCAGCGCCAACCGCACAGCCAGGAAGTTCATAAGTGTCGCCTCTATTCTTTCCTTTCAACAGCAGCGCCCCTGTGCTTAGGTCCGTCACAACAAAAGAATCGGCAAAAAATTTAACCGATACCGAATTAGTATGATAAAGCTTAGAGACGAAAATAAGACACTTCTTAAGAGCATAAACAAAAAATGTCATGAAGAGTGAGTGGCGTAAACGTGGACGAGCGTAAATGAGAGGAACCAATATGGGTGATACGCAAACCAGAACCATCGCCAAGATAAACTTTGTCAGGCCCATTGTAGTCAGAAGAGGAGGATGCCGCAGAGGTGTGATTAGCTTGAGCAAGGCGCTATTGACAAAACATTTGATAGCACTGGCGAGAATTGTAGCCAGGCTTTCCGCAATACTGGCAGAAGACATGAGGACGATGCTGCTCACCACCAGAGTCAGAAGACGGAGGTGCCCATGACGCAGGAGATGAAGAGTAGCCGGAGGATGGAGGCGGACCATTAGAGGAGGAACGACCGCCACTGTGGCCGGGAGCACCACCACGACGGTATCGAAAGGATCCCCTCTTGCGTTGAGTAGCAAAGGCGGTAGCAGGCTGATCGCGGTGAGTGGCTTTGAGATCAGCCTCGAGAGAGATAAGATGATCTAGTAAGTCTTCCAAGTTATGAGGAACATCCAGAGCACGAATCCCAACAGCGAACTCGCGATAATCATCACCAAGACCACAGAGACAAACGGTGACGAGCTCGTCATTGAGAACAGGCGAGCCAGCAAGCGCCATCTCAGCCGCGATCCATCAAATGGACAAAACAAAGGCAACGATATCACAGTCGCCTTTCGTCTCAACAAGGAGACGGTCTCGAAGAGTCATACCCCGGGAGCGAGAGTTGTTGGCATACAGACGAAGAAAGGAGGCCCAAGCCTCGGTAGAGGTAGTGGACGCACTGATGAAGGGTAGAACTGATTCCGAGACGGATGCAAAGATACCATTGAGAAGGAGCTGATCTTGCCAAAACCATTGAGTGTAGAGAGGATTTCGGACTGCAACACCATCAACCTGAATAGTTGCGGCAAGGGGAACAACTGTGCCGTCAAGATAGCCGAATAAATCAAGGACATGAAGGAGCGAGACCAGCTGAGCGCGCCATGAAGGGAAGTTGGCGGCAGTGAGCTTGAGTGGAAGAGAAGCAACTGGGTTGAACGTTACCGGCGTAGTAGACTTAGCTCCTGTTGCCCTGGAAGGACTACCAGAAGAGACAGACCCGGGGGACATGGCGGCTGCCGACAAGAATGAACAGACGGGAAGTTTAGGGTTGGAGGGATCAATGTTATTGATATCTAATGCCCAATTTATTGAAAAAATGGATGGATGCACAATTTATTGAGTTTGATGGTATTGGTATCTAATGCCCTATTTTTCTTTTAGTGGTATCCTTGCCCCAATTCTCAAAGTTTAGTGGTATGTGAGGTATTTCACCCTATAAATATACCCTTGTATCAATAACATAAACTCACTGTATCAGAGCCTCCTACTTAACAAAATTGGCCAGATCAGCCTATATAAAAACAAAAAATTTGCCACGTCATCAATCATATTTGCCCATCTTTCGTCTATTCCCTCTCCAGAAATCGAAAACCCAATTTCACCCAAAATAAATTCTACGAACCCATATTTTAATCATCTCCCAACCTCAGCTTCGAACTCTAATCTTGAGGATGATGATCAGAGTTACTCGTGTTATTCCCATCTAGAGACTTTTAATTTCACGCCCAATCGTGTTCTTCTTATCAAGTCGTCGCAACGGATACCTTCGCGTCTATCTTTGTCTTCTTCCTCTGCCAGTTTCTCTTCCTTCGCCAATGCTGGAGGCTGGAGCCTCTTCCTCATCTCTCCGCGTCTGCTCCAAACAGCCTCGAGCTCAGATCTACCAACTTCGGCACGTCTCTCACCGCCTTATTCTCCTACATCATCCCAACCGTAACCATTGTTGTGAGCATCCGCAACCATTATATCTCGCCTTGCAATTGGCTTGTCCGGAATCGAAAGGCAAAAGTGTACCAACCATCGTCGAAATCGCAGCGAGCATCATTGTCGCGATCTGGGAGGCAGTTGCAGAGACGGCAATCTCGTGGCCCTGGATGTCTAAAGCAGGCTTTCTTCCTCTCTTAAAGTAATCATTAGTAAATCCTCATTGGTCCATCCTAAACTTACATATTTAGACACCAATTAGGAATTCGCTCATCCCACTAGAACTGGGGAAAGAAGCTGGCAAAGAGTTTTAGGGGAGAGGGAGAGCGAACAAAGAGTTGCTAGTTTTGGGTGATGTGTTTATTATTTATTTATGGGATGGGTCATGGGAGTAGAAATAATAGAATAAAGATTGGAAAATGGGGTTAATGACACAAATATTGTGTTTTTTTTTAATATTCCCCAAATATTGCGGATTAAAAAGAATTGACACAAATATTGTGTTTTGTAGTAAAGTTTGGGACGGGACCACCAGAGACTAAGGCGGGGTCGCGGTTTCTAAATATTTTACCTAGTTCTGGGCGTTGGCGCCCAAGTCTCCAGCGCCCCTGCCTCACCCTCTTTTTTTTTAAATCGACGAGCCCTAGGGCCCCTCTTATCTCTTCTTCTTCTTCCCTCCTCCCCACACCCCCCCCCCCCGAACCAGCCGAATCAGAGCAGCGCCGCATCCTCACACACGCCGCCACCGTAGTCTTAGGCCCTCCGTGGACTCAAGCGCTGCCGCCCAGGACCAAGGCGCCGACGGCGTAGAGACAGGCGTCGCCGCTGCCGAGTGAAGCGTCGCCGCCGCTGACAGAAGCGCCCCCGCCCGACAGAGATGTCCTCCGACGAAGAACCAGTCGCCGGCAGAGGCAAGGGGAGAGGCTGGCGAGGTCGTGGTGGAGTCAGCAGCTGTTTGCGGGGTGAGACTCTCGCCGGCGGCGGCCGGAATCTTGCCGGCGGCTTGGATTTTTTTTTTTTAATGTTTAGTGTTTTTTTAATGTTTTGTTGCTTTGTTTTTGCAGTTCCTAGACTTATGGATCCTTATTCGATGAGATTACCGCCGACGACAATAGATCCAGGTCCGGTCGATCCGGCACTTCTTTGGGGACATGGCCAACATCGTATCGACTCTGTTTGGACAAACGAGGTAAGTATTTGATAATTATTCATGTAAAGTTAATTAGCTAATTAGATTATTTTAGTTGGTGAACTGAACTGTACTGAAATTAGAATAGGATTACGTATCAAATTTTTTAAAATTAGTATAATTTGATATTAGATTAGATAGATTAGAATTTATTAGGTGAAATTAGAATTATTTCGAATGAAAATGAATTAATATAAGTTTTGTGCATTATAGGCTGGTGATCGATCTTACCATGTTTGAGGTACGACCATTTTAGTGACGTACCATGAGCTTTATCGGCCATATCTCGAAGTGGCAGGCTTGTTAAGTGTCGTGCCCCTAGTCCTATGAACCCCGATGCGAGTTTGATTACTGCGCTCGTAGAGCGGTGGCGACCCGAGACGTCGTCCTTCCATCTACCGTTTGGTGAGATCACTATCATGTTAGAGGACGTTGTTACACTGTCCGGTCTGGCGATCGACGGTGATGCCGTCGTAGTTGATATACCGGATGAGTGAGATGCGAGGCTCTTGGTCGCCGATAACAACGGGGAGAGTGACCACCCCAATTACTAGAACCCTCGCTCCAGAGAAGCCGACCAGGTTCCCTTGGGCGTGTTTGATTAAGCGCGGGTCGATGTCCATTTTGTCGATGGTACTTTGGAAGAGGATGTCTGCCGCGGCACCTCCGTCTATCAGTAGGCGGTGAATTTTGCAGGAGGCCACTAGGGCGGTGATGATGAGCGGGTCTTCAGAAGGAATTCCTTGCGGTAATTCGGTGTCGTCAAAGCTTAGTTGGCCCCCTGTTTGTACATCCGCTGTTGCGAATTCGATCGCTCGTTCGCGCTTGGTTTTCTTTTTCGGGCGATCTCCTTCCACCGTCACCACCCCTATCTCTTTTCGCACTACATATGCTGCAGCGGCTTCGTTGTAGTCGACTTGTGGGGGTGGTGGCGGGTTTTGGGGCCCCCCAACTTGTTCCTCTTTCTCGTGGGTGAACTCGGTCAGCAATCCTCGTCGTATGAGGCCTTCTATTTCGTAGCGCAATTCTCGGCAGTCCTCCGTCCAGTGCCCCATTGCTCTATGGAAGTCGCAATGCTTTTTTGGGTCCCGCATGTGAGGCAAGGACTTCAGAGGCGCGGGCCAATTGAGCTTGTATCCCTTCTCGCGCAGAACATGGAACAAGTTCTTCACGGAGTCGTTGAGCGGTGTAAAAGCATGGGGCGCGCTCCTGTCTGGCGATCTTCCTCTCTGGGCTTGCTCTTGTGGGGGAGGGGGATGGCGCTTTTGCCCGCTGTGCAGCTGCGCTAGCTGATCTCGCGGCAGCGTGAGCTGCCGACGTCCCTGCTCTTCTCGTGGTAATTTGGCTGGCTCGAAGCGCCTAACAGATCCCGCTCCGAGGGTTTCTTCCAGCGTAATTGCCTTCTCAATCTTCATCTCCAACTCCGTTGATAGAGTTACGAGCCTTTTTGCTAGCGCCCGCTTGAGTTCCATGTTGGTTGTGGCTTCCATAAGGTGATGGGCGGCGATTTCGGGGGTGAGGTCGCGCACTGCCATCGCCACCCTGGACCATCTGGCGTAAAATGATCGTAGGCTCTCCCCGTCTTTTTGCTTGAGGTCTACCAGCGCCTTGAGGTGGAGGGGCTTTCTTTTTTGGGATGCAAACTTCGTCGTGAATAGGAGTATGAACTCCTCAAATGAGCGGATGATCCCGTTTGGAAGCCTGTTATACCAGTCTAGGCATATCCCGGAGAATGTTGATGGGAAGGTTCGGCATAGCGCCGCGTTGGAGTTGGTTTGGAGCTGCATCCGCAGGCAGAAGGTGCTCACGTGGTCTTCGGGATCGGTCGTCCCGTTGTAAGTTGGGAGGGCGGGTAGCTAACCCTTAACAACATCAAAATATGTCACAATTTCTTAGAATCACAAGTTTATCGAAAGTGATGAATCAAAATATGTCAGTCAAAGAGAAGTTGAATCTTGTTGAATAGGAGAAGAATGATCTGGAAAGTGGTGATCAGGAGTCAAGACTCGCAACTTGTGGTTGTTGGGGTTGACAGTCAGTGACGATAGCATTCCGCTCAGGTGCTCCGCCATGATTTCCGCGCTTAGCGGCTGGTGGAGCGCCCTCTTGGGCGGGTTCAGTCGGTACTGCGGAGATAGGTGTTGCTCCAGAAAACTGAGGTCCGCCCTTCCTGGCAGCTCAGCTTGTGGTGTTTCGTATGCGGGGTGCATTGGTGGGACCGTCCTCGACGTTTCTCCTGGGGCTTGTTGGGGCGCGACTGGTGTTGCGCATACTGTGAGCTCGACTTGTTGCGTTTCGTGCGCGGGGTGTGATGGTAGGGCATTTCCCGACGCTTCTCCTGGGAGTTGTTGGGGCGCGGGTGGTGTCGCGCCCGCTGTTGCCGCGGCCTCTTTGCTCATCATGAGCGCTATGACTTGGCTCATTTGCTTCTGCATGTTAGCTATGACGTCGTTCTGCTTCGCCATCAGCTGTCTCATTTCCTTGGCTGTGAGCTCGGGCTCTTCCTCTTCCAGGAGCACCGCGTTGAGATTGCTAGCTTCTACGAATTCCCTTGGGTTGGTCATCGCTTTGATGGGGGTTGATTCGTCAGGTGAGTTGGAGTTATGCTCTGCCATAGGTCGATTTTCTTTGCTTCTCTACTTGGCCCCACGGTGGGCGCCAATTGTTTGAGCCTAACTGGGTGTAGGAGTGAGACTCGGGGAAAATGGGTCAAGGAGAGTAAACAAAGAGGAAATGATCTTCGGTCTAGAACTGAGGAGATTACAAAGAGAATTGAGAGAGAAACATCTTAGAGAGAGAAGTCGATGATTTTAGAGATAGAGTCAGAAAAATCCGATCCCCTCACCCACCGGAGTAAATGCCATATTTATAGGCTATACGGTGGTGGGTGAGTGGTTGGGTTACAAGTGGGTACAATGACATGACCACAGACATGTCAGGGATTTAGGTCATACTTTTAGGACCCCTGCTTTTAGGACCCTGATGTGACTACTCCTGACATAGGCAGGACTATACCTAGGACTACGATGGTGACTACCCGTTGGATGACGCGGCGCCGCTTCTACGACTTCTCGATAAGGGTCCACGCCTGTCCCAAGCGTCGTCGTTTAGTGTTTGCGCGCGCCTCTCCGGGGGTGGTCTTTACCTGCGCGCTTAATTCCGGCGTGACTCGTGCGCTTGACTCCGGCGTGACTCGCGCGCTTGACTCCTGTGTGACTCGCACGCTTTACCTTGGCGTGAGTATCCTTAGTGCTTCTTCAGTGGGGTGAGATCCGAGTCACATGCCCAACAATTTTATATGAAAAACATACATGTGTATGAATAATGGCACTAAAACGGGGTAATAATTCAAAAGGTTTTAATATTTAGAAATGTTTAGAGTAACCTAATTAATTCAAACTAAAAAAATTTAACCTGTTAAGTTGATATGGATTTCTCGTATTATGCTTAATTACAAATGAAAAAAAGTAGCAGAATTAACTTCACAATTAGCCGGTTGTAGCCTAGTTGGTTAAGGAGTTAGTAGGTGATGTTTTGGGCTTGGTGGTTGTGGGTTCGAGCTTCTGCTGGAGGCACTTTTTTTCATGGAACAGGAAACCGGATCGTACCGGCCGGTTCAACCGGTAGCCTGGTGGAGGGCATTTTACCGTTTCGGCCGATTTTTGCGGTTTAACCGGCACAACCCGGCATACCGCCCGGTTTCTTTCCAACCGGCGGTAGACTAGAATTGAAGGAAACGCCGCCGTTTCAACACTTATAATTAAAAAAAATCATCATTTACGGAAAACCCTAATCTCTAATCGAAGTGAATCGGGAGGGAGCCTTCATCGTTTTTTCTTCCCCAGCCCTGCCTCGCCGCTTCTCCTCTCCTCTAGCGACCTGCGACCAACAACCTGCGGAGCTGCAACCCCTGGTCCGCGAAACAAACGAGGCAAGTCGGCAACCCAAGACCGGCGAAAGGTCGAGCCGACCGTGCTTCGCCGCTCTGCCGTTCCTCTTCTCTTCTTTGGCGAGTGGCGACTGGGGACCCGCGACCAGCGATAGGTCGAGCAGCTCCACTCCGCCGTGTTGATCCCAGCTCAAGTCTCCCTCCCCCTGCTCAAGAGCATCGACATCGCAGACATAGAGGAAGATCTCTTTTCCTGAACAAACGACCAAACCCAACAACCAATTAATCATTCTCAAAGGGCAAATTAGGTAAGGAAAAGAGCTCTTAGACTGCTCTATGTTACTGCTATATCAGGAAATCGTGCTTGTTGTATACTGCAACAAGGGATAAGGATCAAGAAAGCTCCATTGCTAAGGTAGTCAAAGAAGAAGACTTAGAGAAGGAACGCTTGCTTATTTTTCTAGTTTGTTAGAGTGGGAAATTAGGGACAACAATTGGGGGTTTTTGGAATCATTCGAATGAAACCGTATTCTGAATCTAGTATATTCCTGTTTAGTTTATTCAGGTTTGTTATCCGGTATATTTCGGTTTTATTCCGGTATTACTCCGAAACGGTATCCTGAATATGCCGGTACGGTTTTTTAACAAAAATATATTTTTAATTACAAAAACGATATTTTATCGGTACACAACGGTTGAACCACGGTCGTACCACAAAATACCCTACCACTGACGGATCCGGTATGACTTCCGGTACGGTTTCCTTTACCATGCTTTTTTTGTGTCTCGTCTTTCAGGGGAGAAGAGTGGCAGCGGGTAACAAAATGAGGGGTATTTTGGTCTTTTAATAGTCAGGCAAATCTAAAAAAAACCTAGCCTCTTCTTTTCACTTCTGCCGCTCACAACTAGAGGTGGTAAATGGATTGGATTGGTGGATTAATGGATTGGATTGGTGGATCCATGGATCAAATGGATTGGATCTAATGGATTGGATCAAGTGGATTTGTGGATTATCCATGAATCCAAATGACATCCTCAACCAAGGACCAATATGTAAAATGTAAAAAGTTTAGGTACTAAAATGTCATAATGAAAAATTTTAGGTACCAAAACGTAATTTTCCAATGATATTTTCGTATAAAAAATTAAATTTTAGGTACCAAAATGTAAAAAATAAAAATTATAGGTACTAAATCGTAATTTGCCAATGATCCATGGATCCAATCCATGAATCCACCAATCCAATTGGATTTGGATTAAATGGATTGGATTAGGTGGATATTTTTAATGAATTGATGGATTGGATTGGTGGATTGGATTGAAATTGCCACCTCTGCTCACAACTCAATCCTCTCCTCTCTCTCATATGCCGGGATTTTTCCAGAAATAGCACTGTTTAAATTTTTTTTTTCAAAATAGCACCCAACTCCGAAAAATTCCAAAAATAGCACCCTTTCTGAAAAACCGCTCCCTACCAGTGCGGTTTAAGCGAAAACCGCCCCCCAGGGGCGCGTTTTTCGATGAAAACCGCACCCCCAGGTGGCGGTTTTGCAGACCGCACCCCCACCATGCGATTTGGTTGCATATCGCACCCCCAGGGTGCGATCTGCTTTTTTTTTTTTTTTTTTTTGAAAAATCCTAACCTTGGTGGAAACTTCAAACGGACGTATCTTTGTGTTCGGGTATCCGATCGTCGCGAATTTTTTTTTGATTCCGCATAACTTTTTGAGATCTTGCAAGCCGAAGGTGGTTTGATCCTGCTTTCGTCCTAAAAAATGTCGTTTCCTACCCCGAACGAGCTTTTTTCCGATTTCGTCAAACTTTGGACAACCATAACTTTGTGCTCCAAAATCCAAACAACATGAATTTTTTTTTATTTCGCATAACTTTTTAAGGACTACAATTTTTACTAGAATGAATTTTCAAAACAGGAATTATTTTTGGATATACAGGATTTTGGGAATAGCTTACCTTCCCTTCTCAGCAATCCACGTACATTTTCAAATTGTGTCTATGATAAAAGTTGTAGTCCTTAAAAAGTTATGCGAAATAAAAAAAAAAATCATGTTGTTTGGATTTTGGAGCACAAAGTTATGGTTGTCCAAAGTTTGACGAAATCGGAAAAAAGCTCGTTCGGGGTAGCAAACGACATTTTTTGGGATGAAGGCGGGACCAATCCACCTTCGGCTTGCAAGATCTCAAAAAGTTATGCGGAACCAAAAAAAAATTCGCGACGATCGGATACCCGAACACAAAGATACGTCCGTTTGAAGTTTCCACCTAGGTTAGGATTTTTCAAAAAAAAAAAAAAAAAAAAAAACAGATCGCACCATAGGGGTGCGATCTGCAACCAAATCGCACCCTGGGGGTGCGGTTTTCATCGAAAAACGCGCCCCTGGGTGGCGGTTTTCGCCTAAACCGCACTGGTAGGGAGCGGTTTTTGGAAAATGATGCTATTTTTGGAATTTTTCAGTGTTGGGTGCTATTTTTGGAATTTTTTTTTAAACAGTGCTATTTCTGGAAAAATCCCTCACTCGTTTTTCTCTGAAAAGTGAAACGAGAACAGAAAACGAAAACTCTTCTCTCCCATCGCTCCAATTCGCATCGCCCATTTCTCGACCCGTCATTCCTCTCTTCTTCTTTGTAGGAACGACGAGGGAAAGGAGTCGAAGGGAATGCCGACGATGTCTAAAGGAAGAGGGCGATCGACTCCGATGATGACACCAATGATGCTGACGGAGGTATGATAAATTCCATTCATATGCATATCGATTTTTAGGGTATTTTTGTTCGATTTAGGGTTCCGATCTCTTTTTTATTTACGGGTACTGACAGGGATCGTCGGCGACAGACGTGCCGGTGACCGGGGATCTGACAATGACGACGAAGAGAGGTGGCGCGTGGCATCGACGACGGTGGCGCGGGGCATCGACGTTGACTTCCTTTGTCGGCAACAGAAGGGTAAGCTTCTATGACAATTTTATTTACTTTGATTCGTTTTCCGGTTAGATTTTTATGTGTTTTTCTATTTTGGTTTTCGTTTTGGGATTTGAGGGTTTGATGACGATTGGAGGAATGGAGAAGATGGCTGCCGCCAGTGGGGATGGTAACACGCGAGGCTGCCGTCGACGAAGGCGGTAGCACCGACGGCAGCAGAATAGGGTAAATCCCCTTCCTTAAATTGTTGTTTCTGTTTTGAAAGGGTTCGGGTAAGAAGTAGGAAATTTAGGGATCTGATTGTATGTCGTATTTGTTTGGTGATTTACTGATTTTTAGTTTGATGGTAAGGCTTTGGTTTCTGATTATTTTATGTCGTTTTACTGGGTTTTTAGACATAAATTTGTGGTTTATGGTGTTGATTTCGATTTGGCAAATGTGTATTGTGTCGGGTAGGGTAGTAGTTGATTCATGCTAATATGGTTGAGCTTTTGGGAATTTGGTTGTGGTAGTGGGAGTTTGAATCTGAAAGGTCTAGTGACTATGGATCATGATTGGACATTCTGTGGGTGTTGATGGTGGGTTTGGAATTGGAAACTTGGTGGTAATTGTGATGGGTAACCGGTTTAGAACTTGTGTGTGTCGAATCTGTTTTTGATTGCTTATAAATTTTGATTTTAGATTTAATTATGGAGCATACCCGATAAAAATAAAGTGGTCAAGACAAGAACATGAAAGAAAACAAATCTATTTTCTGTTTTTATTATGGAAGTGCTAAATAAAAAGAATACCTGATAGAAGTTTAATCGAGATGATAGGTGAAACATATAGTTATACTTGTACAGCTATTAGTAGATTAGTAATTGTAGAAATAATATACATAACTATGAGTTGGTTATCTTAACAGAAAGAAAGTCACCTTGAATGAAAGTACTTGTATGCTATTCAGTTTATAAACTTAGAATTTAGGAGAAAAACAAGTACAATGATGACGATTGTAATTTGCATGGAGGTAATCACTTATGATTTCCTCTTAAAGCTTGTTAAGAAAAGTAGAAGTGAGATGATTATGTAAGGTGATGATTGAATCTAAAGATGGTTAATTTGTTTGCTTACCAACCTTTGGCTTGATGTTTGGGATGGGTTGAAATGCTTTCCTCCAATTTCTTGCTGCTGTCTTTGCTTCTTTTTGCCCTTCTTGTCTTTGCTGTTTCGTTTTTTGCGTGTGGTTAAAGAAAGAAGATGAAAGTGGGACTTTTTAGTGATATCTTTTCTGTTACTTGTGGTTGGCGGTATGTGGACCGTGTAGACGAAGAAAACTGTCTTTTTTGTTAGGATTGCTGGTATGGTGTTTAAGAGAAGTATGGAAGTTGTTTATCTCTCCTTTTTGTTCTCTTTTGGCTGTGTTTTATTTCTGTTGCTTCGTGAGGAAAGGAAAAAAGGGGAACTCTCTGTTTCTGTTTGTAAAGGAAAATAGCTTTTTATGTTGTTTTTCTTTGTACCAGCGACCAAGAAGAAAGGGTATGGACTATTGAAGCTTCTTTTTGCTTTGCAGAGTGTTTTTCTTTGAAGAGGAGGAGCCTAAGAAGAAAAAGCGAAAAGAAAATTTTTCTTTGAGGCAGTTGAGGCGTGGGGAAGAAGCAGCAGAACTCCCTCTTTTCTCTGTTTTTTTGCTACAGCTCGTGAGGAGGAAGAAGGAGAAGTAAAATTAGAAAAAGTCCAGAAGTGGAAGAGAAGAAGGGATGCAAGGAAGAACTCTGCCCCTCCATTTTTTCGCTCAAGGAACAGATGGGTTTTTATAGAAAAAGAAAACTTGTTCCCCAAGCTTACAACAGTGCTGGTTCTGGGTCGGGCCGATCTGAGTTCAGTCGGACCGATATGGGTTTGGTCAGACTTTATCTCTGGCCGGTTTGACTTTGTTGACTTGTTTTATTGAGGGTTGTTTGACTTGGGCAGTTTTGAGCTTAATTGTAAAATTGTAATTATTAATTGTTCTAATTATGTAGTTAATTTATTGCAATTGTCTTAAATGAAATTGTTATGTCTCTCTTTAGACTTTAATTACTTAGTAATCAAGATCCAACCTCAAAATCCCATATGTCAAGCAAACGATCAACTTCTATCAAAAGCGAACACAAGTCTAATTCGTAGAGATTTGCTATTGCTAATTTCACTGCTTATGGAAAACAAAACCCAACTCAAACACCGCAAATGCACTAAAAATACGACTTAAGTTAGTAGTTTGTTTAAAATTGCTATTGCTAACTTTAAACAAAAAGTAACATTTATTTAATTGATTATGTTTTTGCCCGGACAAAAAACGATGTCTACACCGGTCGTCTTGCAAATTCATCCGAGCCCACTCATCCTTTTTCCGTCAAAGAAAGATCCTCCATATTCTGGCATGATCATTACTCGATTACTGATATCTCTCTGCCCCTTACACCCTTCAAGAAAACTCCTCCATATTCTGGCATTTGGAGGGAAGGGCATGCTGCCAATTAACTTCTCTGCTTCACTGATATGCCCACTTCTAGCTAACACATCCACTAGGCAATGGTAATGATCCAACTCTGGTTTTATACCATAATGACCATTCATTTTCTTGAACAACTCCATCCCTTCTCTCGCCAAACCACCATGTCTGCAAGCTGTAAGCACTGCACTGAAAGCAACCTTGTCAGGTTTATGCCCTAATGATTCCAGCAGTTTGAACACCCTTATCGCATCATAAGCACGCCCATTATTTCCAAGAGCTGAAATCAGAACTGTCCAGGTAATGATATTTTTCTCCTTCATCTCATCGAATACTTTACGAGAACTTTGAGCTCTCCCACATTTACCATACATATCTATCAAGACATTGCAAACAAATGCATCGCAAGCACTGAAATTTGTCTTTATAAGGAGACCATGAATAGTGCTTCCGAAGGGAAGCATGCAAATCTTACTGCACGTGCTCAGAAGACTAACATAGGTGTAGTTATCTGGACGTATGCCTACCATAAGCATGTGCCTGAAAAGCTCAGTGACCTCTTTATAGTGACCATCACGAGCACAGGCAGCAAGAACAATATTCCAAGATATGGCATCTGGTTCTTCAAGTTCAGAAAGCAATTTTATTGATTCATGGTATTGGCCTGACCTGTTCAAAATTCCAGTAATAGTATTTGAAAGGACAGTGCCAAGCGTTTCAAATGCCACGACTAACCTTCTTGCTTCACGGATGAGACCTTCCCTGTCATAGCTGGCAATAAGGGCACTCAACACATATTCATTATTTTCATAGCCCATCTTCATAATCAAACAATGAACTTGACATAGCTCTAACAATAACAATGACTTCAGTATAGCAGAAAACGAAGACTCATTGGGACGGAAGCCCAATAGAAGCATCTCTTGGAGCAAAGGAACAGCAAGTGAGGAGCTTTCATTTGAAAAGGCCAAAACAATACCATTCCAGCAAACCACATTCTTCTCACGTATCTCAAGAAAGCTGTTGTATGCATAATCCAGCTTGCTGCATTTCGCATAGTAATCGACTAAAGCATTACCCACATAAGCATCTGTTTGGGAAGCATTAATGATCACAAAAGCATGCACAGCTTCTCCAAACATTGGGATATTTAAAGCAGTACATGACTGAACCAGACTTACAAATGTGGTCTGATTTGGCCTGACATCATCCTCTTTATACAGTCTCTTGAAAAGCTCCATCGCTTTTCCGGGCTTCTGACTTTTTGCTAGTGCACCCATCAGGGTATTCCATGTGACAATGTCCTTTTTCTTCACATCCTGAAACATTCTTTCAGCCAGAGATGTGCTGCTGCCACATTTGACATACATATTTACAAGAGTGTTGCTGACTGGGACTTCACAATCAAACCCAATTTTCATAGCTAAACCATGCACCTGTTGTCCAAATCCCAAATCTTTATCACGTGCTAATCCAGACAAAACACCAACAAAAGAGCCTTCAGATAAAGTACCCTCTTCTGCTCTCACGAGTTCACAAAACAAACCCATACTATCTTCCACCAAGCCGTGACTAGCAAAGCAAGAGATGATCGAATTCCATGTCGTTAAGCTCTTTTTGGGCATATCCTGAAAAACCAGTGATGTCTCTTCTAAGCACCCATACCTTCCAAACAATCCTAACAAAGAAGTTCCCACAAAAGCATCAGCAGCTAACAGCCCGCTTTTCATTGCTAGTGATTGCAATCTAACCCCATGACTGAGATCCATCGAAGCACACGACAGCATACCCCCGAGAGTGAATTGGTTTGGCCTTAGTCCACAAGCCATCATCTCTTTCAAAGCGCGCCAAGCATCATCAGGGCAGCCGAATCTGCTGTAACAACAAATCATAGAATTGTACGACACCGTGTTCCTTTGCGGCATTCTGTCGAACACTTTACGTGCGTTCAAAAACTCCTTGACCGAGGCATATAACGTGATGATGTTGTTGTGCAGAAAGGTCGTCTGGGTCGAGAACGTCCCACCGAGTGTGAACAAGAGTGCGTGAAGACATTTCGTTGCTCCGAGAGAACGAACCCTCGAGGTGGCTTCAAGGAGACGAAGGAGCCGCTGATGGTATTTGGTGGACTCCCCATGAATAATCATTAGCAACTTTGAATCATTATTCAGAAGATAAGCCCCCTCCTTTGATGGGGAAACACAAACACTTCGAAGCAATTTCAGTTCCTATTATTGTGCAGTAAGCCAGTAGCAAACAGGTTTTCCTAGCACAGCATAAGGACTAGGATCTCAGAAAAGAAACAATCGAAAGTTTGGTTCAGATAAGCGAAATCCAGGAACTAGATGCTAACCTTTCCTGGCTGGAGGTTTCTTGAATGAAGAACGGAAGCCTGAAACACCAGAAAGAGAAAACGAACATGAGATTAGTCTTCACCGATCATTTGTTTGAATTGTAGGGAATTGCATTATGTTCTTAGAAAGTTTGGTGATTGGTGGGGTTTTTTTGTGGATTCTGCCTAGGTTGGAGTGGTATCGAAAACTGAAGCTATTCATATGGCTGAAGAAGCTGCAATTCGGAAGCAGTTGCTCAGTACCCAAGTTTGGAGTGAGGAAAGTGGTCTTTTGCATGGTTCAATTCAATGTCATCATTCACTTCTCTCCAGTCCTGCACATGGCAATTGGAATTTCAAAACAATTAAGAGGTTACAGTAAGTGGGTTACAGTAAGTGGTGGTAAAAGCAAACAAATGCATTCAGAATGGTAGGACTCCTTTGATTCAACAATATCATTTCAAAAGAAGCATCTAAAAGATCAAACACGTTTGAATCATACTTGAGAAGCATAACCCAATAAAGGGGGCTAGCAAAAGCTCAAAACCTCTTGCAAGGCTCCTGAAAACCAACAGCCTCTCATACATCCCCACCTCAAAATCCAGCACTGCAAGGAAACAAGCAAATAAAGCAATACAAAAATCAGTCAATAACAAGCTGATTTCTATGAAAAGAAAAAATCCATCAATAATTCTCCTTTCTGAAGAACTTGCATACTTCTCACTTCTCCCCAAGCCATGTTCATTATGGTTAAACAGCAACTCTAAGTTGCCCAAGTCTGTCTAACCCATCTTTCCATTTCTTTTTTCCTTCACTCTGTATCAGTATGATCAACGAGTCTTTTAACATTGGATAGAACTGAAACCACTATAGAGGTATTCTCTATCAACATATAGCTCAGCCATATCTTTTTATTAGTAGATCAACTTCATTGACTATTACTCTTTGAAGGTCAGAGAAACACCATGCAATATACAAAAGCAAGTCAAAATCAGATGGGTATTCATGGACACCATAGGATAAAACTTAATAAGCTCACCTAGCTGTATCAAGAGCAACTTTCAGCCGCAAAGACCAAATTAGCTTAGACCGACCGAGACGATCCTGAAAATGATTAAATGAAATCCATATAACAAGAGTTATTTTCCTTCTCCTTATTTACTATGATGCTACACCCGACAATCACTTGAAATATTAAGCATATATATCGACAGACAAATGACCCAAATATCCAAAATCATGAAAAGCCAGATCTATGGGTCCTCCGTATAAGTAAAGTAGCTCTAGTTTATAAAAGTAGGCAATTCACCTAGTTACCTTTCTGATCTTGAATCAACTGTCTCGCTTTCCTCCCTAATTCCATTCACCGTAAAGATCCATAATCAAACTCAAGTAGAAAGTAAGAATGATAGTTACAAAGACAATAAAAGAAAATGGAATACAAAAATCTTACACGAACATGTTTCAGCCTATCCTGAGAATCTCAAATGTGTTCACAATTATTGAGGTGTATTACCTCGGCTGTTAAATGAACACCAAAGAGCAGCGAGTTAGACTAAATCAAATGAATAAAGACTAAATGCACATGCACATGCAAAAAATAAAATGAAAGCATGAACCCTTTGAGATCTATATCCGAAAATGAAAGTGCTTCAGCAAGAAAAGCCAAGTCTCATCTTTTTGCTCCCATTTGTAATAACTGATACCATCCTCCCAAGAGGTTCAGACAATTTGTAAATTCCCTAGTGGTATTGATCCATCACAAGTTCACAACACAGGACAGCAAGATTTTCCATTGACCTAGCTAGATTACTCCAGAAATTCATCTGAACTACGGCCCTCATTCAGCTGATTGATTTCCTACCCAGAAACCCTAATTCTGGAACATATAGACTTTCGGACTGAGCTCTTCATCGAGTCAATCGAACTAAGCGAAGAACAACAACAAAAAAGCCATAATTGAATTTCAGGAGCGAAACATTTTCAAACCAATACGATTCGGGAAAGGGAAGGGAAGAATTAGGAGAGTGAAGTATTACCTTGCCGGTTAATTTCTTCATGAACTTGGCGTCGGCAGTGAAGCTCATAAGAAAGAGTGGAACACCGATGTACAGGCCGAGCTTCACGCCCTCCAGAAATCCCTTGGAAAATACGATCCGCGGAAAGTTGATTCGCCGGCGAGGAGGAAACAGAAATCTCAGGCGTTGCGTCGATCTTGTGGATGGAAAGTAGAGGATTAGGGCCTCGCTACGTGGGCGCTTATTAGTTTAGCTGGGCCAGGCCCATGCGAAAGGGAAAATCAAAACCGGGCTCGTCTCCATTTCGTTGATTCATCCCTTATGGCTCTCAATCTCATCCTCATGGTAAAGGAAACCGTGCCGGAAGTCATACCGGCTTCGCCAGTGGTAGGGTATTTTGTGGTACTACCGTGGTTCAACCGTTGTGTACCGGCAAAATACCGTTTTTGTAATTAAATAATATTTTTTTGTTAAAAAACCGTACCGGCAGATTTGTGATACCGTTTCGGAATAATACCGGAATAAAACCGGAATATACCGGATAACAAACCTGAATAAACTAAATAAGCATATGTAATATAAAATTCAACAAACTGCAACATTACTGAATTAACTACATAATTGTTCAAATGCATGTTTACGATTGAGTACAAAACAACCAAACAACATTCTTAAACCACAAGTTCATAAGTAAACCCTCTTTTCTTCTTTCTTTTTCTTGGTCGCATTTCATAATTAGCTATCTGGGAATCATTGATTGTTTCAGATTCGGTTCAATTGCTTGTTCTGTGAACTGGGTTTCAACAAGTTTCGTCCTTTCCATTCGGTTTTTTACTGTGGTTGCTGGGGACATTTGTGGCGACGCCGCCGCGCTGGGCATCACAACAGATCCCCATTCTCTCCCTATATCAACCGTAAAAGCAAATGAATGCTCAGCATCACAACAGATCCCCATTCTCTCCCTACTTCTATAGCCTAGCCCATAATCAATTCCCCAGAGAAGGATCATCTTAGTTGTAATTCTGGAGCAAAGTAGCAATTAAAGGGAAAAGGCTAAGTAATTGAAACAGGGTTGAGATTAGAAACGAATTAGCATACCAATATCGGACGGCTTTGCACTGGGCATATCGCCGGTCGTCGAGCAGAGGAGGCGGTCTCCGGTCGTCGAGCAGAGGAGGCGGCAGACGGGCAGAGGACTGAGGAGGCAGGGTCGTCGAGGAGAGCAGAGGCAGCGGCAGCAATGAGCAAACGAAGAGTGATTTTAGGGTTTTGGTTTTAGGCTTCGGCCGTTTTTTTTTTTTCTTTTCCCCGCAAAACGACTCCGCATCCACTTTAACAGCTCACCCCCGGTTAGACCAAAACCGGGCGGTTTTATCAGTTGAACCGGTTGTGCCGGTCAAACCGACCGAAACGAATTTTTCCCTCAAGCCTCTCTATCGTACCGGTCAGGCACCAAAACCCGGTTTTACCGGTTCAACCGGCCGGTACGATCCGGTTTAATTTACCATGCTCATCCTTCTCCAGTCTGGTCGTCCAGGCCTTTGGGAGTTATTACCAGAGCACTTCTACTCTGCTATATAGTATTGGTGCTTTAATGTACAACTTAAAGTTGTACCATAACATTAAATGTATAAGTTTAGGTTGTACCACAAAGCAATTTGTACCATTATGTTATGGTACAACTTTACAACTTGAAGTTGTACCATCACATAAAGGTACAAGTTCAAGTTGTACCATAAAAGAATTTGTACAAAAAGTATAGGTACAATCTAAAGTTGTACCACAACGTAAATGTACAATTTTAAGTGGTACCATAAAGACAAAATCCTATAGTACCAATACTATATAGCATTATAAAATTTCTCGTTATTTATTACCATTGTGTCAAGACTCAAGTGTGATAGAAAGTTCCTAATTAAAAGACATTGATGAATTAGCTCATATGATGGTGAAGACAAAGTGAATTTTTTTTATGTACATTAGTAGATATGCTTTGTATGGATTTTATCAGTTGCAATTGCAAGGGTTGAAATGTTTTTTTTTTAGCTTTGCATTACATTAAGAACAAGGTTTAGAATCGAATAGACGATCAGTTCGCAAATCATTATCTAGTAGAATATATTGAAAGACATTTGTTGACCACTATAGATACTGAATGCATATTTTTTTCTGAACATAAAAAATACTCAGCGAGGTTATTTGTTATAACTTGTACTAATTGGGTAGCTTGTTATTTGTTAAATTAGTTTAATTGTATATAACTTGTACTAATTGGGTAGCTTGTTATTTGTTAAATTAGTTTAATTGTATAAACACGAAACTGTAATAGAAATTTCTGAATCTGCCATGACTCTTAAATCCTCATACTATGTTTATAAATGGGAGAACCAATGATAGGATCTAAGGGCTAGATCTCAGAACCAATGTTAGCCCATTTGATTTCACTTCCAAGAATACATGTCATGGTCCATTTCTTAAAAATTAGATTATATGTCACTGTTCATATCTTTAGTGGTGGTTGTTTCTATACTGCTTTGTTTTAATTCGCAACTAAATAAACTTATGATGTTGACGTGAAATATCTAAACCTCTCTTATTGGTTGTCCAACAAGGCTCATTAGCATCTAATCTAGCACACTCATTGGTCTAAGTGGAAACATCACTAATCAAGAGGGCGGGCCATAATTAACACTTAAATTCTTCACGAACATGATGAATATATATATATATATTCCTTTTTTGTATGATAAGTAATTTATATTAGTCTCTGAAGTTGACGATTTTATCATTTTGTATGTAACCATATATTATGTTTATATTTTAAAACCCTTCATAATTTCATGAAAAGAAAAGAAAAAGGAGGAGGAAGAAATAATCAACTAAAATTTTTTAGTGATGATGGAGCTTTTAGATGAAAATTAGACAAATCTTCATCAGAATTAATGTTACTATGATTGTTTGATTTAACTGAACCAGATCAACGGTTGTGTTAGTAGAACCGTCAAACCAGTTAAGATAGCGGTTCGATTCATTGCTTGGACGGTTATTGATTGACTAAACGGTTTTTCACAGTTCAACATAAAATCGGATGAACCACCACGGTTTAACTGGTCCACTGATTCACTATCTTTACCAAATAAAATTTAAAATACTTTAATATAAACTAAGACTATCAAACCATAACTATTAACTTTATATATGCTTTCTTCTTCTCATTTCCCAACCTTGTTGTCGACTTTACGTTGTCCACTATCGACTGACACCGTAATTTGCGTTGAAAAAAATTATGATATTTTGTGAGACGGTTTGAATGATTTAATAGATATTTTGGTGATGATATAAATATGAAATTGTTTATGGTCAATGATAACTCCATTTAAAGATTAGTGTAATATAAAAGTCTTATATGTTATATATCATGAACGGTTCTATCAACGATTCACCAACGATTTTGTAACAATCAACTACTGAATTCTAAACCACTAACTTTTCCAGCCTCCAATCTGTTTATGAAAACAGAGGATTTGACCAATTTAGGGGTTAAAATCAATCTAGTCCCGTTTTGGGTCAACCCGATTGAATTTGGGCCAAAGTGGTAACCAGCACCACACTAGATCGTATATGATTATGACGAAAAAAGGATCAGATAATTTCGGTCCAGTTCGGTTTAACCAGGAGAGGATTTTTTGCTCTAGAGAGTAAAGGTTAATTACCCTTCTTATATACCCCATATGAATTCATCATCACATAGTCCCTCTCAGCTACTACTTGTTGCTAAGCGGAATATTAGGAGTCGATGTCTTCATAATCAAGACTTGCTTGATTGTTTTGATTCTAGGGACTTGGGGTAGTGTTTTCGTTTTGCTTGATAGGTTTCCTCTTTGAGGAGTTTTTATATACAGAACCTGTATGTGCTTGGAGGGCTCCATAACGTTTTGCTATTGGTGTTCGTACTTAATGCAATTTTCATTTAACCATAAAAAAAAGCATCATCACAAACCTTGGTAAGATGGATGAACATATGGCCAACAAACTATTTAGCTGATTATATGAGTAAGATCACTGTGAATTCACATAAAATACCCCAATAATTAAGGAGCAGGTGCATTGAGAATGAATCTGGTGATACTTGCATATATATATATACTGGGTATATATGGTAGTGATTTTTTGGGTAAATTGCAAGATTAGTTATTGGAAGTATTAAAAAAATTCACGTTTGGTCATTAAAAGTGTTTTATTCTATTTATGATCACTAAAAGTGGTTAAACGCTTCACGTTTGGTCACTCAGCGTTAGTCTCCGTTAAGTTTAGCTGATGTGGCAGTCAACTTTAATAGTTGACCGTTAAATAAATGACGTGACAGTTAAAAATTAAATTTTTACAATTAAATAAACATTAAAAATTAAAATTCATATTCGATCTCTCGTCGCTGCACAACCACCACTCCCTTTTCGTCGACAGTCGCCGTCCCTCCAAGCCTTCTATTCACTTCCCCCCGCCGGGGAGCGGTGACCCACCCCACCCCGCTCGTCCACATACAGCTCCGTGCTCTACAATCCTCCCCCGCCTCCCCCGCCCCCGCCGTCCAAGACCGTAGAGTAAGAGTCCGATGAGCTGGTTGCCTCCCCCGACTCCGTAATCAATGCCTCGGAGCTCATGGATCGCCTCGACGACGACAATGACAATGGCGGTGTTGATTTTAATTTGGGAAAATCCCAGCCACCGAGGAGGAGTTCATTCCCAAATGATGACTGGTTCGAGGAATTAGGGATTCTGGACCAACCGGCGAAAAAATTGGGTTCTCCATCGAAGGCGTTCTGGAAGCTTTTATTGGAGGAATGGTTTATGATGAAATTGGGTTCGCATTCAATACATTCCAACCCAAAATCTAGCTGCTCCCCTCAACCAGTCTCCGCCGTCGACAATAGCGACGACAACGGGGGAGGCGGCGAGATTATGGTGTTCTTCACGAAGATGAGCCCTAGAGATTTGGACGTTGACGCCTGTAATTCGCACGTCGGGACATGTGCTTACATGAGCTTCGACAGATTTTATCTTGATTCGCTCTTGTTGCCCGGTTAGAGGCTGAACTGGTCGAGTTTGATGTGTCGGCCTATGGTGGAGGTTCGCTTGGGCGGCGGCTTCTTGGTTGTCGTCTGTAGACTGTAGCTACTGGTCCGCCGCGGTCCGTGGGAGCTATCTGCAGGTTGGCGGCGCCGGTGGGAGTAGGGTGACCGGTGGTGGCGAAAGAGAGGTCGAGGAGAGAAGGGTATCGACGGGGAGGAGGACGGCGGGGATAGAAAATAATTTATTTTTACTTTTTTAATAGTTGTAAAAATGATGTGGAAATTGTGAGAATTTAAATTTTATTTTTTATTTATTTTTTAGTTGCCACATTATTCATTTAACGGTCAATTATCAGAGTTGACTGCCACATCAGGTAAACTTAACGGATACTAACGGAGGGTGACCAAACGTGAAACATTTACCACTTTTAGTGACTACGAATGGAATAAAACACTTTTAATGACCAAACATGAAATTTTTAGTACTTCTAGTGACCAATCTTGCAATTCACCCATGATTTTTCTTTTTATAAGTAGAAACTTACAGTAATGATGCCTAGTAGGTTTGACATCAATGTCATTGTAAGAGCAAGAGCATATAAAAATGAAATCCAAATTCTCAACCACTACCAACAAGAAATACCCTAATTGCCCATACGATTCACATCCACATTTGAAAGCAATCAACCATGTTCGACACAAACTGCCATAGGAGTCGTAACTATACAACAAATATAGCCCAAACCCTGAACATTGACGAATTGAGAGGAAGGAGGAAAGGGGAATTGGAAAGAGAACAAAGTAAGGATGAAGCGGACGAATCAGAGGAATAAGAGGAGACTAGGGCTTGGCCTGAGAAGCACATTGACGGTGATGATGGAGACGATGGTAGTGATGACGAGCATAGTGGCTAGGATGCCGTAAACCTTCTGGATCAAACCTCATCGGAGCTATTTCTCGCCAAGATCAAGACCTGGATATAGATTCTCGTTGTTTCCGGCCTCCAGATCCGGCTCCTTCCTTAGATCCTTCCATAACGGAGGAAGATCGCGTTTCCAATTAGCAATTCCACGGGAGCTTAATTGAAACCCTAAAATTTGAAAAATCCAATGTAATTGCAGAGGGAGTGACTCACCGAGAACACAGAGAAGTCGAAATTGTCGAGGATCGAGATCGTCATAAGGCTCCGAGCTCCTATTCCGACCCGCACAATCTCGACGGCGTTACTCCGAGCTCCTATTCGACTCGCACAATCTCCGACGGCCGAGAAGACAAAGCTCGATTGGTAGTCTAAGCCCCAAGGCGCTCGATTCGGGACGAAGAACAGGCAGGTTTGTGTTTTTCGTTTGGGTTTTTTAGGGATTCCCTGAGTAGGGCTGCAAATGAGCCAAGCCGCTCTCGAGCAATTCGGCGTTCGAATCGAAAAAAACTCGTTCGACACTCGACTCGTTATCTAACAAGCCGGCTCGCGAGCTAACTCGTTAGTTAACGAGCCAAGCCTGAGCTAGACCATGCTCACCTTGATAAGCTCGCGAGCTAGCTTGATTCGGTGGCTTGTCGAGCTAAGCTCGCGAGCTGCCTTATTTTGAGCTTGTGGAAGGATGAATTACTCTTTTAAACATGAACATTGTCTTCTAATACAGATGTGTATGAAATTTAGATGTTATTTATAGTTTCTAGTGTTCTTTCTATCATTTAAATTCTTATGTTTATACATTTTTCCAGCAAAAATGATTTTAAATCGAGCTCATCTTGAGCCGAGCTTGTACTCAGCTTGACAAGCTATGTTAATGAGCATTTATCGAGCTCTATCGAGTTGAGCTCGAGCTAGATTATTTTTATTCAAGCCGAGCTCTAGCTCGAGCTGGATTATCAAAATTCGAGTTCGAGCCGAGCTCGAGCTGAAAAATTAATAAACGAGTCGAGTTCAAACTAAGCAAAAACTCGACTCGACTCAGCTCGTTTGCAGCCCTATCCCTGAGGACTTGGTTCTTCTCGAAGTAATGAAAGGACTTGAGTTACTCGACCTCTAAGGCTCTAACATGTTTTAACTTTTTCATTGAAAATAGTTTTTTTTTATAAATAATTTGAATCTGAACATATAAAAAGACAAAAATAGATAAGACTAAACATAAAAAAGGACACTCATTACTAAAGACTTCCACTTGCGCAGTGTTGGTGTATGATAACGTGTATGTTATCATAGATCCCGACGGTCAATTGACGGAGAAGGCTTCCGTTGGAAACTATAGCATTTATAGACTGTCAGACTGACCGTCACTAAAAGGTTGTCGCTATATCAGCCTTTTCTTGTAGTGCATGTTCTAGATAGGAGAAGGTACATGCTTCCTATGCTTATAAATATGTATTGTGTATTTCGTTTAATAATATGAGAAAATTGGAATCCAAGTAGCTTAGTAGTAGTCTTCGATCCTCAATATTTCTCTTCGTCCTAAATCTATTTCTCTTCGTTCTAAAACCACTACAAAAAAGACTGGCAGAAGTGACCAAAACCTTCTGACGACACTGTTTTTTCATTGGAAATAACTGTTTTTGTGACAAAACTATCTTTGTAATTGTATCATAAAAACTTATGTTATTTCCAACCAATAGCTAAATTCATCAGAAATGTTAAAACACTTCCTCAGTAAAGGTGAATTTCACATATATGAGGAAGGTAGTGTCATTTTTATTGACGATATTTTTATTTTCGTCAATAATTTATAACATTATTAACCGTCCTAAGCAAACCGTCAGAAATAATCATTGTTTGTGACGCCCAAAAAATTGACTTATGGTCCATAACATTTTTGCGACGCAAAACCATTTACTCGGAAAAGAATTGTTTGGTATAGTTTTATTTGCGAGGATTTTAGTAACTTCTCATAAAATCATTATTTTTTTCGACGGTGATAATACGGTTGTCAATAAAAGATGGTTGGAACAAATGCACACTACATGTAGCTGCCCGACCCATCTTAATGACCACATATTTTCCATCATTAATGAATAGTTGGTTTGAAAAGCTTGCGGGAAAAAACAATATTAGTGAGCAAACTTGTGTTCGTCAATAATATTGAAAAAAATCGTCAAAAGTCAAACAATACTGACGAATTATGATGTCGTGGGAAACATGTTTTTGAAATGTACCCTTTTTACCCTTAGGTTGCTTTTTACGATTGTGAAAATGGATTTGTTAGAAATAGTTGGTCATAAATATTGTTTTCCGAAACAGTAGATTAGTGGATTTCAAAATGAAAAACAACTTTAAAAAATAAGTAATTGATGCAACTCAAACCCAGGACCACATGTTCCTAAAGGAGATTCCAAACCAGTTACACTACACACAATTTATGTACGTTTTTTAATTTTTTGTATCTAATTATCGTGTAACAGAATCATAACTGCAAAGAACTCTCTGTCTTTTGCAGATCAGTTCGATGTTCTTCCCCCTTGCAATAAACGAAGGGTGGTTCTTCCCCTGCAGACCATTTAATTCCGAAATTACAGGAAAAGGGAACGATACAATGGCATCAAAACTGGTTCAACGAATGGAGTATGTTCATCCGATCAGTTTCTCTTAATTGCCGTTAAAGGGTTAAAGGGGAAGAAGAAGTCAATCCACAATGACCCAAATTCGCCATAAACCACTATAAAATCCCAGTAAGAACAAACAGATTATGATTATGTAGTTTACCCAATCTGAAAGATCAAAGAAAACGATTCGGAGTTGCATTTTCCCACCGCCGATTGAGAATACGCCTGGAACGACGCGAGGGAAGAGTAGGTCTGGCGATCGGCGCGGCTGCAGTTTAGGGACGGAAGGTAAGCAGTTCCTCCGCTCGTCTAAAACGACCGCGTCTTTGTTTAATTTTTTTTTATGAATTTGTTTAATTATGAGGAAGAAGATGGTGTGTTGGATGATAGGATATGGGTTGATCGAGGAAGTGTGCAAAATCCAGATTTGCTCCTTTTGTGGTTGGAGTGTGCGATGATTCTTCGTCGCCAGCAAGACCCGATAGACGGCGGCGTTGCCGTGACTTGCCCCGGACCTTGCACTGAGCAGGGGAGATGGAGAGGGGACTCGAGCAGCGAAGCAGTGAAGGGGGATTTACGAGTGTTTGGTAGAGGGAAACGTGGGTTTCAGATTGAAAGAATTTGCAGTTCACAATCGTAATAGAGAAGAAGAGGCTAAAACTCGAACTGGATCTGGGAATATTTGGAAGGCTAAAGCTTTCACATGCAGCTTCAAAGCTTCCTCCAACCTAGAGAGAAAGGGGGATTTATTTCTGGTGATAGATGAAAGAGAGAGGAGCGGCGGAGAAGAAAGGAAGGGGGAAGATGGGGCTGACGTGTGTGGTGGTGATTTAGGTTTAGGATTTTTTTTATACTAATATATACATTAAAGGTCAATTACTATATGATACTCAAAATTAAATTATTAATCAATCATCAAATTTCTTGCTCATTGCATTCTAGGCACGTATTTTAAGGATTATATTGCATAATATGTTTTAAACATTTGATTTAATTTGGATTATTTTTATTTCTACATCGACAATTTAATTTACCTGAATAATTAAGTTAGTTTTACTTTTTTTGTAATATTGTCTAATAACATAAATTTCCTTCATATATCTATAGGTATGGAACCTATCGACAAAGCTTGGATACAATTGAAGAATCGGGCTACACACAGTACATTGCGGGAGTGGAGAAATTCGCGAAGTACGCAACAGACCATGTTAAAGACGATGATGGTCTAATAAGGTGTCCTTGCGTGGAATGTGGTAATGTGCGTAGAATGACAGTGAACCAGGTAGAAGGACATCTTGTTTATAAAGGAATGAGAACCGACTACACTAAATGGATTTACCATGGCGAGGTCGACGAAGATGAAGAAGATGACGATGAAGGTCCAGAATTGGGTGATGATAACATGGAAATAGACAATAATGGAGATGATGGCGATATGGGTGAATATAACGATATGGGTGAAGATGATATGCTTGGTGTTCTGAATGACCTCATGGCTCCATTAGCGAATCTGGAAGAACCTAATGCCCAAGCTCAAAATTTGTACAAACTTTTCGAAGAGGCCCAATCACCGTTGTACGAGGGATGTGCTTCGAATGTATCAAGATTGTCATTCGTCACAAAGCTTATGAAAATCAAGTGGGAGAATAACTGGAGTAACAATTCATTTACCCAGTTGGTCAAGTATATCCGGGCTGTATTTCCTATGGCGCAATCACTTCCGAAGAATTACTATGAAGCAAAGCAGCTTATGAAAGCTCTTGGGCTACACTACGAAGAAATAGATGCATGTGAGGACGATTGCGTCCTATACTACGCTGAGCTGGCAGATGCGACATCTTGCCCCACGTGCAAAAAATCAAGGTGGAAGAAAGTTTATAAGGATAAGAAGGGCAGAGATAAGAAAATTCCGTGCAAAATTATACGGT